TATCAACTGAAAATGTATGGTTGCCCCCCCCCCCCCCCAAAAAAAAAAACCGAATTTGCTTCCTACGGGCCTGAATAAATCATCATGAAAAAAAGATATGACACATAATATATTATTGTATTAAAAATTTAAAATACGAGCGTATAAATGCAAAACGTCCACTGACATTTGTAATTAATTTTTTTTCATTACTTTACACAAAATCGCTTTAACACAGAGATATATAAATGGATGTTACAACCACTTTAATCAATTCTATAAGTCAGAAGTTTTCTCTGATTTGTTATCAAATAAGGATAAACATTTTTATTTTCCAACTATATAAAAAAAATATCTCTTATACTTCAGCGTTCGGCAACAATTGCAATGTTTTAATGCGATAAAAATCGTGTGATTAAAAACTTAATGTGCATGCATCGTCTTTCTCAGGACAATTTTGGAGAATTTATTTTATTGACTTATTTATTTATTCATTTATTGGTTTACTTATTTATTATTGATTGTTTTTTTTTTTTTGGCACCTGACAATAGTGTCAATGCAAGGAAAAGATCAGAGGCATTCCGAATATATCGTTCATCTTGCGTTCACCTTTCGTTCACCGTTCACTTTGCGTTCGCGTTTGCGCTCCGTTCGCGTTCTGCGTTCGCTCACCGTTCACCGTTCACACATCGTTCACCAAGTTGCGTTCAGCGTTCACATATCGTTCACTCACCGTTCGCTCTGCGTTCGTTCAGCGTTCGTTCACCGTTCGTTCACCGTTCGCTCACCGTTCAAGTGGGAAAGTAGAACGTTTCAGGGACTGTAGATGCTTTTTATATTGTTTAAGTAAAGACAAGGTGATTGCAGAGTGATGAAAATAATTAAAACACTGTCATAATTACCCATGCGATGAAATAAAACAGAAAAGATTTGTTAGTTCCGATGTTTGTTTTTTTTTAAACACATATATATCTATTTATTGTTTTCTATCTTAAATGACCGTCATGTAGCTCAGTTGATGGAGCACTTTCTCCGAGAGGTTGAAAGGTCAAGGGTTCAAATCTATGTCGATATGGAAATTGGTAGTGAATTTACCTTCGCCGACCGCTCGGCAGGTTGAAATGCGTTGCGGGTTTCTGGACGAAATCTTAAATATCGAGGTCCAGCGTCACGGTTGGTCCGTGCACGATGAAGATCCCTCACGGCTCAGTGACCCTTGGTGCAGAGTAAATGTCTAAATTCAAAGACCTTTAGTCGTATTTGTTGACGTCTCTGTATGAAAGAGAAATTCTAGAATGGGACGTAAAACAAAATACAGTCAATCAATTAATCAATCAATCTGTCTATCATTATTGCTTTACAAAAAATTGACAAATCTAAATAGACATATGTTTTCAATGATTGCAAGGTCACTGCACTATTTTTGTATGAAAGTGTTGGACGAAAAGTGCAGATAATAAACACATAGATAAGTTGTCGCATGGCAAATGGGGTAAACATTAATGCAAATTTCAAGACCTTTGGGATAATACTGTTTACGTATTTTGAAATGCAGATTTATACTAATTTAGACAATTCAACAAATGATGAAGGCTCGGAGACATGTAAGAAAAACAAAAGCAAATCTACAACATCAAGAAAGAGAGTAGTCATCATAACGATTGGAACAACTGTTTGCTGTTTTCTGATCTTCTACATATCTTACGAAATCCGTTGCTTTATTCGTAAAAGAACGCTGCGTGATTGCAAAATTCGTTCAGAATATTTAAAAGTACAATTTTGTCAGTAATATTGAATACAGTGAGTATCATTTGGAAAACGTCGAATTCCTGGATAAGACCGAGGGTCTTCTCATCTCATAATGTTCACCATTACATGAAATATACATAACATATAGAACATTCAAAAGCCTATGGTGAAATAATTTTAGCACATTTCAGACGAGTATAGCAAACATGTCTTACATGTACAACGAAAAAAAAATCAAACAGAATAAAGAAGAGTGCTATGAGTGCAATAGTTTGATACTGTAGACACAAATTAAAGGTAAGAGGTGAAGAAGGGGGGGGGGGGGGGAGAGAAATCGCAGATGTTCTTGTTGCCAAAATCTTTAGCTTTGGTGTATCTATAGATTACTTGAAGAAACGCTTATGAAAGTAAGGGAAAAATCAAGAAATAGATATATCTGCTACAGTAATATTCTGTCAACCTAAAACGTTTTAATTTAATTAATTGATATCGGTTTGTGGTTTTATTAACTTTTGATGCTGTAAATCTAGCATAAAAATAGATCACTTAATGTATTTCTTTTAGCATTTGATCATTGCTAATTATTTCAGAAATGAAGAAACTTCAAGTGTTACATGTATGACACCTACAACAAATGTTTTATGTTGTCCTGGGTTCTATTTTGAAATGCAATGATATGTAATGATGTCCTTTCTCAGCGGATGGTTTATTCTGATGCAGAATGTTATTTTTGTTTTGTACGATCGAAATTTAACATTTTTGGTAGTAACGATCAAGGTAGTTGACAATAATCTTCCGACTATATTTGAACTAAAATAAGCTTCTTTCTATTTCTAAATCAGATGAAAAATTAAACAAACCTAAGAAATGTCACAGGTTTGCAGAATTGTGATTTTTTATTCTATTTTTAGTTTTTCGACTTGCCTAGATGTCCGAGCTGTCTAGCGCGCTGTTTCTGTACTGCTAGGAGACGGATTCCGTAGTTCAACCTCGGGCTGGGACGGAAGTGGATATCCTTATAAAAGTGAATTTCTTTGTTCTTTATATATATATATATATATATATATATATATATATATATATATATATATATATATATATATATATATATATATATATATATATATATATATATATATATATATATATATATATATATATATATATATTCTTAATGAACTTAATGTGCACATTCAATATTAATTTGAATCAATCAGGACATTAAAGAAAATAAGATGTACTTCCTTCTTCAAAAGTGATTGACAAGTTGATGTATAATATTGCCTGATCGTTTTAGACATTGATAACATTGTCACAATGAATTATTACTTGACAATTTTGTTTAACTTGTAACCCTTCTCAGTATCATAGTATAAAATGTTTTCTATGTGTCTATTTTTTCTTTATATTTAAAGAATAGCAATGCTTCATATTTTTTTTTTTTAAATCTTTACTCTTTTTTACCTTCTTTACAAAGAGGACATATTTTCTTTTCTTTTTAACTGTTGTTTACATATATAAACACAATTAAAAGAGTATTTGTTTAATTATGTTTTATCAAAGCATCATTATGCTTGTTAACTCAGCCTGATTGAATGATAGGCATTGATGCTTGAAATACAAAAGGAATAGGATATGATAATGTGTGAAACGAAGTAGATATATCTTAATGAGCTATTTCATCAATTTTAAGCTCAATATTAACGATTATATCAGTTACGTGTAACGTGATTATGAAATAAAATTTCCTTATTCCGACACCAAATTAAAATATACGCCCTTTTTGTAATGAAATTATTTATTCTGTATCTTAAAAAAATCACTGGTCGATTTTTCGAATTTTTTTTTTTGAAGATGATAGCCACATGTATGTCTGCGCTGTGGTAATGTGAGATATGATTTTTGTTAGATTTGTTTTTTGATGCCGACGTCTACTGAGAAAAATAAGTCAGACTAGAAAATATATAGTTCATTTCCATATCTATAAATACACTGTAGATATTTGATTTTTTATAACAATTCATATTGGCCCTAGAGTCCGTTGAGAGTACGCCTGCCGAAAAAATCTGTGTTATTTATCAAATATCTGTTTATTTTATCTTCATATGCTACTTTAGTAAACATTTTCGTTCATGTTATGCAAAAATAAATAAAAAAAAAATTAATACTTAGATAAATATTTGATTTTACAATCTTTAAAAATTTACAGTGCAGCCTGTCGAGAAAATCTTTACCTTTTCCTTTCCTCCTTCCTTTCTACCTTCCTTTCTCTCTTTATATATTTATTCATTCGTTTACGTTTTTATTCATTTTTTTTTATTTTGATATGCAATTAAAATTTTTAAGGTCATACACTTGATATTTGACCAAAAATGAATATTTTTAAGGAAAAGATTTTATGTTCGTTTACATTAAATCCTGCAATAGTCACAAGAGGTAACTACAGGGCAAACAGAAAAAAAAACATAATTGCGTATGTATGTATTATTTTCACTGACTTGATAGTCATTGTAAACAATAATTATTATTCTCATGTATGAAAACCTTGAAAGAGGTGCTACGCTTTAAAAATGAATGGAAAATTAACACACCAATCCCACCCCACCCCACACCAAACAAAAATGCATATCATGCCTGATTTTGTGTACTTGTAAGTCATCAAAAATTTCCTGATCCCACCCTTAATGTTTTCAGAGAAACGTTTTATGTATGATTTATATATTCTTTATTTTGTGATGGATTTATGAGATTGATCACTGCATGTTTGTCATCTTCATTTTTTACGATATAAATATATTGATGACCATATTGTTTTCCCCAGACTGATGCCCTCAGATTTTTTAAAGCGCATCATCCGTCTCTCTAAAATAAATGAGGCCTCCAAGATTGCATTCGATCTAATAGACAACGTTAAAAGATTTACAAGTGAGATTTCTTTCAAGTTTGGTATATAAATTTGTTCATTAATGTTCCTTTTAAATGAATGCCTTTTAAATGAGTGTCTTGTCAAAATATAATAAATCTTACAATTGTTTTGTAAAAGACAACTTCCTCAATAGAATTATGATGCAGTTTACCGAAAATTAAATATACACTGCTCATAATTTAAAAAAAAAAATGAAGTATAAAATAATTCACCATAGAAGTTTCGTATGTACATGTATTGCACAAGTTAAATAACTTCAAATATCGATATCAAAAGGAGATAAAGAAATGTTTCACAGCAATTTTTTTGCTCGTAAAAAGTTAGACGAAATGAAATTCGTATCTTTTTAATTCGAAATAGGTAATTTCATGTTGACACCAAATTAATACTACTGATATTTGACACAGCATAAATAATATGGCAAAAATAGTTATATATGTTATGTTACTCCATCAAATTTGCGATAAAAAATAAAATCATTGAAGAAAATGGTGTCGACACTGTTGTTCCAAGACTTGTTGTTTCGATTGAAGTCTGGTCTGAGAGAGGAACTCGCAAAGGCTCCTTTACTAACGGATGATTCTTGCTTCCAAAATTAAAGTCTGCATTGCAAAGGTCACGGTTACACTGACAAAGATGACCAGGAAGTCTCTTATCTCCAGATGACGTGAAGTTTCGTGATACGCATCCGGTTTTCCTCGTATTTGAACAGCCTCGCAGAAAAACTGTTGGGAAAAAAATCAATACTCGTTAATTGATTTATATTGTTTTCAAGATGAATATGGTGTTTTCAGAAATTATTGAGAATTTTTCTGTGATTTATTTTTTCAAAATATTAAAAATTTATACTTATAGTATGAATTAACTTTTAGATCAAATGACAATATTTTCTACTTTCTTATTTTATATGTAGTTTTCATGAATAATTTACCGTTTTTTCTAGTTAGTTTACTAGGTCTACAAACTCTTTTCCTTAACTGAATCCCTCTTTGTTAATAGTTTGTACAACACAATGTAAAGTAGACAGTGAAATACTTGGTGTTACAAAAATATCATCAGATTTAACAATCCCTTCCTAATATATAGCTTAAATAGGTTTTCTGTTTTCGATAGCAGTAATTTTGAACATCAGCAGTCAACAAGAAGTATATAAAATAAACGACAGGCTATCCATGAAAACTTGATGTATTATTAAAAAGCTTGGGGGGGGTGTACATGTAGGTGTGTAGGTGGGGGAGGGTATTGACATTAAATAAAATAATGAAATTGTATAAATTATATTGTTTGCTATTAATCCAACATTTAAGAGTAATGCAATATAAAAAGAACATCGCAATAATTTCTAGGAACACTATAATTATAATTTTAACTGATATTGGTTAAAAAAGTACTTCTAACCGATGATTTAAAAACATAAGAGACCCATAGACCACAATGGTCATCTGATTCAATATAGCCCTGCTGTTCCTCATCAGATTTTTTCAATATATACGTATATTTCTTTGTAAAATATTGATCGTTCATTGTGGCCCAATCCTTTAAACAGGGACGGTCACCATGATTTGAACTGATTGAATATGCACTACAAGAGGATGCTCCTATATAAATGTGACTAATAATGATTAACTGTTCTTTAGAAGAAGGCATTTAATTTTTTTTTTAATTCTTGTGTTAAACTATGATCATCATTGTGGCCCCAATGTACCCCTGGGGTTCAAGATTTGAACATGCGTGGGTACAATATTTGTAGTATTTAGCCCATTTTATATACAATGAAATATAGAGATAAGGAACATTAATCAAGCTCAAAAGTCCATTGAAACAATACAAATCGGGCGCATAGCAAACACGGACCTTTAAAAGGATTAGAGATGGAATCAGGTGCCATGCAGGAGTAAAGATCCCCTGTCGACCAATTAGACCCACCATGTGCTCCTTGTCATGATCGCGGAAACGGAAAAATTTGTAGACAATTCATTAATAATTCAGTAATGGCCCGACAATTAGTATGAAAAACGTAAGACAGCATTCGACTTTATAATATATTGAATTTGCTGACAAGTTCATTTTATTGACCATAGAATTCGCAGCTATGTTAAGGCTGTTCGAAGGCTCAATATGCATTAAAATGTACATTTTATTTTGAGCTAGATTTTAATTTCAATTTGTAATCTATGTATGAATTTACAGTCAACTTGTGATGAGAGTATAATCAGATTTATAATAATGCACTTGTTTGATGTCACATGACTTTGTTGATCACGTGACAGACACTTATAAATTCCTAAATGTTGCACCAAAAATCGCATCGGCACAAGTGCAAAACAACATTATTGAGAAAAATTTGTCACATAAGTCAATTCATCGTGATCTTTGGTACTTATAAAGTGCTGGGGGCAAGTTTGAATTTTATTTCTTGAGAAAATATTCCACAAGAAATTCAACTTTCCCATATACAAGGGGGCATTTTCCACTCTTTATCGTAATTTATACAAAAAAGGGAAAAATTACATACAATCCCCCAGCAAAATTCAGTTAGGGGACATACTTCTCTAGTAGATTCACACAGAATATCTTCAATTTATCCTAATTAATCACTTGTGCCAGTCAAATATATACAGTATTTATAAATTCTAACTCTGTCCACAGACGTGTAAGGGTGAGCGTTTCACAGTCAATTTTTGTTATTGTTTGAATATACGTATATCGGACAAGTTAAAGGAATAACGATATCAGATTGCAAATGTTCAACATGATAACAGCTTAAGCTTAAAGAACAATCCAGACGCTTGAATCAAACAACAACGCTAAAGTTTAATCTTTACATATCATGTAAAAGGAATGTAAAAGTTATGACACTTTCCCCATCAAGTCAGCTCAAGTATGTAGTGACTTGACGTCATATGCTATTATGACGTCATATCTTGGTAGTTCAGAGAAGTTACTACAGTTGGAACAGTTTGACATTTTACGGACAGCCTTATCCTAGCCGCGTTTGCAAAATGTTGCCTTCAAACTAAAACTGCTGAATGTACACCACCTGAGGATGCTTCCACATTTATTTGATTTATGGCTGTTCTTGAAAAAAACAATTTCCCTATATAATCTTATGTAACATTTCGATTGCCTATTGTGTCCCCATCCTTGCCCTGGGGGCAAATCTGAATTTACACTACATTGGGATGTTTCCATGTTAATGTAGATATTCTTGATTTGAAGTTTACCCCATATATTCCTTTGCAAAATTTTGATTGTCAAATGTAGACCCATCCTACCCCTGGGGAGGTGTAGGGGTCATGATTTGAAGAAACTACCTGAGTTTGCCTCTGTATTAATATGACTAATCAAATTGCTTCCTTTAGAAGATTTTTTTTTTTCATATATATTCCAATATCAAAATTTGATTCCGCATTGTGGCTCCAACCTACCCCGGGAATCATGATCTGAGCAATTTACAGTCTACACTGTTTCAGGGTATTCTTTTATATTTATTTATTATTTATTTTTGTGGTCGCGTGGTTACTAAGAAGAATTTATTTTAAAAAATTCTTATATATTTCAAAGTAAAACTTTGATTTCCTACTATGGCCCCATCATACTCCGCTTACCATGATCTGAATAATTTACAATCTAATCTACCTCAGCAAGCTTTCAACTAAGTTTCATCTTATAAATCATCTTTACAACATTAGTTACAGGTATTTGTGACTTCAAATGTAAGGTATCTGATATCATATAGAATGGAAAGGCATGAAAATATATAGTGACGTCACAATTGCAAACACAAAAGTAGTCCCTGGGCATTATACAGTGTAAATGCGGGTTAATTTGGCTCCATAAAAACCCGGGTTCTCTCCAACTATTTTATTGAGAATATATCGAAATATGTTACAAATGATGATTCATGTATGTAAGAATTGCTAAGAGAGAGAGAGAGAGAGAGAGAGAGAGAGAGAGAGAGAGATAAGAAGATCAAGGATTAAATTCCCTTCCTTGCTTGTACATGCAAATTCTGATTATATCTCCATTATCTAACAACACAAAAGCACTTCAGCGTAAAGCAAAGAGTAAGCCTAAAACATTTTCTATCAACTGTCCTCTCCTGGTTTTTAAATACAAAAATATGAGGTAATTTTGTTTCTCTTTTAACATACTGTGTATTTACCATTTACAAGTATATCTGACAATCAAAAAAAGAACTGTTTGCTTTAAACATTAAAAATCTTGTTGCCTGCTACATGTAGATGCCTTTGATAAAAAAAATAACAAATAATGCATTTTACTGGATGATCAGTAGAACCTCACCCGCACACTAGAAACCCTGATCAAGGGCCCTAAATTTCACAATTAAAGTAGAGGCACCCTTGTTCATAATAACCATGTATTTAGTTGTCTGCTAAATATTAGGTGTAGAGAAGTACTCAGTATTCCAATAATAATTCAATGTAGTTCAATAACAATGCATTCTCACAAGATGATCAACAGATCCTAACAACATAACTCCTGACTTACGGCCCATATAATTACAGTTTGGGGAGAAGCACGCTTGCTCATCACATCTATAGTCCTACGTTGTCTACTAAGTATGACATGGAAAGGTCGTATTTATTGAAAAAAATGCATTTTCCTCTACATGACCGTTAGAGCTATAGCTAAACATTAGAATCCGTAACGTAGGGGTAATAAATTTTACAATTTTCGAAGAGGCTCCCTTATAATCAAAATACACATTAAGTTTGTCTGCAAAATATATAGAGCACCAACACCAAAACTAAACCAGGGACAAAACTATCACAAATTAGAAGAGAGCTCAATGCTTATTACAATAGCCAAGAAGCTTAGTGTTCAGTAGTAAAGAAGATGACTTCTTTGACGGTTGCATTCATTTTATTGGTTTTGGCCTCACCCCCAGACCCCACGGAGGAGGAAACCATGAAATTCATATTTTATGTAACTGTATATTTTATCTCAAAATGACTCAATGCGCCGTTGACTCAGTGATTAGGAGAAGAGCTGAAAAAATTTAAAGTTTACGACTAACAGGCAACGACAAACAGAAGACAAATGAACACGATGCACGACGATGGACTCAAACATAAAGCAATAGGTCACGGGGTGATCAGGGAAACCATATAAGAAGGTTGTGACACAACAATGTGGTAGGAAGAGCAAATCAAATTCAAACCCACTACTTAAAGCCTTAAATTATTACTAATATTCAATCTCATATAAAACAAGAAAGACCTTACATATGGTAAATAAATGAATTCAAACCTTATTAAACAGACTTTCTAGACTAAAAAATAGCTGTAATGTAATTTTTAACGTTCCGACTGTTTAATTCTAGGAGTAAAAAAATATTTTATATGGAGAAAACATATCCCTGCATTGACTTTTATCAGGATGGGAAGCTAATAAAGCTATATACTTAAGACGGCTTAAACTGTCCCATTTCAGGTAAAACTTGTAAAACTTGGAAATATTAAATTCATCCTGATATAAAACAATTAACGTGTTGAGTAAATAAAAATGACTTCTGCTTGTATTGATTTACGCATTAGAATACATGTAGATTTTGCACAAGATATCATTTAAAATTGTTTCTAATTTCAAAGCCACTCTTGATCACAACAATGGACATGAAGAAAATCAAACCTTCCTTTCCATTGGGTGCTTTGATTTTGCTGACTCTACATGTCACGTGACATTCTTCTATCATGGAAGAGTTGACTCTCAGAAAGGTGGCGTCAGGGCCACAGAGAGATCCATGCTGAACAGTGTTACATTTCAGACATTTTAATCCGTCCACTGTATTATGAAAAGATGTCAACAATTTATTTGTTATAAAGAATAACAATATTTCAATATTACTGATATTAAGGTTGAAAAATTAAATATAAATAGATACATCCAAAGTAAATATTTTCACACAAAAAAGGCGCGCATAGATTTTTTTTTCTTCATGAGTATACGCTTAATCACTAAATTCCACACAATACGCTTACAAATATTTAAAAAAAATAATAAAAAAAAATCATTTGTTCCATATTTATTAAAATTTATATAAAAGCATGTAGGTATAATCTTTACTAAAGATATATAAACGATATACCTGAAACATATTCTATCATCAAAATAAAGGCGAGAAGATCCAGGTTAATGCCCATGTTTATAAGAGATGAAAACAGACTTAAAATGTTTATTTTAAGTGCATTCATGACATCCTTCCGGTCTCCGACACTTGTGTTTATGTTTATTGGCGTTATAAAGCATGTGCCCGATAAAGTTTATTGTTCCCTAAAGATTATATAGTATAACAACCCTGAGTGTACATACACGTACCCTTTAAAGATGCTGTTTATATTCATTTTCATGTTTCTATATATTTCATCAGGATACAAACATCAATTTCATGACAAATATACTTTAACATTAAATTGCTTATTTTTACAACTGAGACCAATTGCAGCAAGTTTTAATATCTTTTGGACCCGAATGTGATATAAGTTTTTGATAGAAATCAAATTGTCACTAAATTATATTCACCTTTATGTAAAGATATTTAACCTTCAATTACCTTTACTTATATTATGAGGAAGAAAAAAATGGCACCTACGCCTTCAAACCCGTTCAGCACACCAAACACATCATGATAATATTCTATAACTAACAAATTCTGTGATACATCAATAAAATTCAGACCAGCTAGTCTAAAATTCGTAGATTCAAAATGTAACTTTTTGAAATCTTTAGAAAGGTTAGAAAATAGAGTCACTTTATCAACAGGTATTTATACTGTAGAATTTATATCCCTTTATTTATAAACATATCAATAATTTCAATTTCGCAGAAGAAAAAAAAATGAAACCTATCCCACCCTAAAGGTTCCTCACCTTTATACATTTCATGATATTTTATCCATAATAAGAATTGTTCTGTGGTATCAATAAAATCACATGAAACACTATGATAATAATTACATTGACACTAAAATTAAACAAATTTGTATTTTCATTTAATCTAGCCAATAATAACGTGGATAAATAACCCGAATTTAATTACTCCCATTTGATAATATGATGTAATTTATATCACAGGTAACCCTTTTTATGTCTTTGTTTTTAAAAGTTCACTTAGATGCAAGAGTTAAGAGGTTTGTCGCAGATTTGAAGTGATTCTTTTGATGACAGAGATAGAAATTAACACGCTAAATAGTAGCGCTTATCATGATAGGACAAATATTTCCGGACTTCCGATCGCTGATGGGGATTAAGTACATCTTCCCGAGTAACTTAGGCACTTTACAAGAAACAAAAGAGATATGGGGTACTAAATCTTAAAATCATAAACATAATTTAGACAAAAAATGATATATAGATAAGAAACCTTTGGATAAAGAAGAGTAATTAAAATATTCGAGATGAATATCATATCATGAATATGAGCAGAACTTTTATTTTCGTTTTGATTTTTACTTTGATATTTAAACTCAACATTACAGGTACATGAATTTAGATTCACCATTGCTAAAAATAATGTATCGATTGACCCATACATACATTCGTTTTAAAGATAGTTTTAAAAAGTCTGAGAACCCATGACCAGAACACCTCAGCATACACATCTTTATAGATTCCAAAAAGACACTCGTGAATGCATTTCTAATGACCTATCTGAAATTGTAGTCTTTCTTTGAGTGTTTTTGTGCCTTTTTGGAATAAAAAGTTCTCATTATGGCCGAGATCTATCGAATATGGGGGATGGCAAAGCTCTGTTATCTTTCCTTTCTTCAGAATTTCATTTATTTCTCCATTCTTATCTTGCAGCGGCGTTGTTGGGAACTGGAAAAGTATTTGGACTTCCTTTGCAGGAAATCTACCTAACTTTCCTTAGTGCCATTTAAACATACAAGAAACTATTGACCGTCCTTCTTTTGAGTATATGTAAATGTTTTACTGCATGGCTCTTGAATAAAAAGAAAATAAATAAAACATGTTTGGAACCTTTGCTTCTCTTTGCAATTATAATTGTACAACAGCTTTCTCTCTGATTCCACATTTTGATATTGATTTCCTTTTCGGCTAAAAACGTGCTCCCATGTATTGTCATCAATCACCCAACTTTATCTAATCATCTTTTGTTGTAAATTGATTATTTTAGCTAGACAATTAGCACATTTAACGCGTTTTTTCTCTTAAGCAATTGTAAAAAAAATAAAGCACCTACCTGATAGAATTATCGTTAGATTCATTTCCTTTGTCAGAACTCTATAAAATGTTGTGATGATGGAATGTTTAGTGTCTTCGCAATGTCTGTCAATGTAAATCCGGCATTTTTAAATATCAAGTTGCTCATAACATGGATATTTTTAGATGTCCCTATAGATTTCCATCAATCAATTTGACTGTGAAATTTTAACTCTCCCCTTTTACTTTTGAACTTCTGAATCCATCTGAAAACTTTACAGCGTTAAAGATTGGGTTTACCACATATCAAAATCAAATTTTTAATATGGGTTCTCCAGCTTTTTATGTAATGATGGACAGTTTACACATACTCCCCCATCTTCATCTTCTTGGTAGAGATCGTTTTTATACAGTTTTCAGCTAAGTGTAGTAACCATGCTTACTTTCAAAGTAAATTTACTTGCTAGGACAATAGGAAAAAGCATGGGGATTTCTGTAATTACATGTAGGAGTTCTTCAACAGATCTTTTCGAAAATTATAAAATTCAAGTTAAATAATTATACATTTTTTTATGAAAAACTGTATTTTACATTATTATTAAATGACCTTCGTATATTGTCCTGAAAAAGACACAGGATGAATTTCTGCCAATTCGGTAATTAAAAGGTGGATGACCGATCGTCTACTAAAGGTGAGATGACCGATCGTCTACTGAAGGTGATTGAATGGCAAAGCCCTGTCATTCAGCGATTTTTCCTTAAGCGAAAATAACACTAGAGAATTTAACTGTACCTAATTTGTTTCTTGTACTGTTATCTTGTTATTCAAAAAAGTGTTTTCCTGGACCCAGTCTAAAAATGAAAGTATTGCAAAGAAATGCGTTTACTCAGTAAGGTCCACTGTAATATTCCTCAGTTTGAATTCAAGATGCGGATGTTTATACTTACTGAGATCATTCTATTTGTTAGAACGCTATATACATATACATATATATATATATATATATATATATATATATATATATATATATATATATATATATATATATATATATATATGTATATATGTATATTTTTGATTTCGCAAAAAAAAAAATTAATCACTTGCACCTTTTCACACAATAAAGGAGACATGAATGATCAGCAATAAGCAAGCATGGTGCAAAGTACATGTAAACCCTCTCTACATGTACACACTTCTAAAATAACTAAAATCGAAAATCTATTTCATAGTGTAAGCACAAACAAGTTATTCTCCTTACATAAAACTAATATGTTGACAGTGTAATCATTCGATCCAGCGCAGTTGTATATTATTCATTATTGAAAACCTGTTCATTTTCAACTTTGCTCTACCTCCTTCAAAGTTTAATCTTCTATCTGTCGGTGATTTGTGAACTCTTGTTTGGTTGTCACAAAAGTTTGAGCAAGCTGAAGAAAACAATACCGTACTTACAGAAAAACAGTCTACATGTATTTGCGGTGCATTGTGGATAGCGTGGTTTACTGCGGAAAATCGAATCAAATATGCAGTTTAACTTTCTAAGCTTATGTTTTTTCTTTGATATTAGTAATTCTTTTGAAGATAGTTCATTTCATTTCGAAATTCTTAATTGTGCAATCCTACTTTAACTTTAGATGCTTGCATCATATCAAAGATATTTCGAATTAAGTCCACCCTGAATTTCTTCTACACTAGGATACGAGTATTTTATTAATTATCGTGTCACAACCATTCTAATGTCCTCACTCATTTACATGTGAATATCTTTATTACTTTTTATCCAGTCAAAAAATAAAGTAAATTGAAGTTTATACCAAGTATTTGACAAGTCCAGAATGTTGTGTTTGGTGGATGTGCAGTTACAGACTAACAACATCATTATTGATAATTTTTTGATTGTGGAATGAGTTATATAATGTGTTTTCGTAAAATATTATTTTCCTTACTTTCCCCCCGTTCTTGTACTTAAAAGCAATGTTATGATTTAGCCTGCCAATTAAATGCAAAAAATGAAAAATGGGTATGAAAACATGACTGTCTGACAATATCATTCGTTGTCTGTTACATTCCTGCATGGCTTGAAACCAAACCAGCCCCACAAATTATATTCCTGGCTTGAAACCAAACCAGCCCCACAAATTTGCTGGAGGGACCTGCAACCGACAAAGCTGACTGAAAAATATTCAAAACATATACTATAGATTCCTAAATATACCAATTTGCATTGTTTTTGTTGTACAGTTTTGGTCATTTGCATACATTAAATGATTTATCATGAAATCGACTGTATCAAAAGATGTATATTCAACACTGCACCGGTCCGGGTGACTTAAATTTTTGGTAAGTCCGTGTTTGCTCTGTCCCCCATCTGTAATGTTTATCAATAAATGGACTTTGAGCTTGAATACTGTTCGTTATCTCCATATTTCATTAAATGAGTTATTGCCAACGGGTGGAGGGTATGATTGATATGTTAGCATTCTCCAACCACCATTTACTTTGGAACAAGCAATATTGGAGAAAGGTGCATATCATATGTAGTTGGGTCTGAAAAGGGGGTCTTTTTCTTTCCGTTTTGTATTTCTTCAACATTTTTTCCTGCAACTGACTTGGAAATTGATGAGCCGACAGAAAATTTTCAGACGAAATAAAATTTTTGGGACATAAACCCATGTAAGTAAAACCTTGAAATACTTCTTCTGCTACATTCCTTATTGAGTAGTGATGCACATATGGTGCCAAAGCAGATGCCTAGTTCCTATATGTTCTGGATCGAAAATCGAGAGAGCCTATAGGGGTAAGCTGGGATGATGAAGCTGCTGCTAAGTCTGGACTGTTTGATGACCACTGGCTTGAAGGCTGTCTGGGGATGAAATGTTGAACGCCGAGTCAGCAATATTTCAGCCATACTTCGGCGATGGGGATGAAAGGAAAAGCCAGCTTATTTAACACATTCACAGACAAAAGACAATTTCCCATCTAATAATCT